GTTTACTTATCGTTACAATATACTTTTTCTACCTTTAGAATTCATCGAAATGTCACAGAACCATTGCCAACTTTCAGCCGCGGGTCCCGCCGCGTCACTTACTGTAAATTTCGATTAAAGAACCGCTGAAAGCAAATTCAGAAAATGCGAATCGAGGTGGGTGGGCAGCAGGTGCCGCTGCTCGACGTCATCGAGGCGTTGCGGATGCGGGACGAGGCACTGGTGAGCTGGGCGGGCTAGCAGAGATTTTTGGGGAGCTCAAGCAGCTGCCCATGCCCAATTTCCAGAACAAAGTCGACACCGCCAAGGCCACGTCACCGATCAGCGCGCCCGTCGAGACCCCCGTCGAGCCGCTGGTGAAGCAGTGGAGTGAGGCTTTTGAAGCTTTCAAAGCCTGAGCCCAAGCCTAACCGAAGCCTAAGCCAAGCCCAAGCTCAGCCTAAGCTAACCCTAAGCTAAGCCAAGCCAAGTTCGGACTCCCCGAAAAGCGACCTCTTCAGACTGGACGTTCCGCGGCATCCGGCTGCTCCTCCTGGCGTCGTTGTGGCTGGGCGCGTTGCTGTGGTTCGCGGCGCTGTGGAATCGCGACAGCTTCTGCCCGTACGTCGCCCACCCGGTCGCACCGCAGCCGCCCCAGCAACCCATCCACCAGCACGCCGCCGAGCCATGATCAACCCCATTTTTGCCTAACCGACAATTTTTTTGTGTTAATAAATCGTTTTGTTTATTGCGCTGCTTGTATGTCCGGTTTCAAAGGGACCAGAAAATGAGAAAATCGCGCCTTTCGATCTGTTGTTATTATGCTAAATTGTTAAAAAATTCGAAATTTTGTCAAAGGTCGACGTTTTTGGATTTTTGGAAAATTTATGTAGTTTTTACGCTTAGCAAAAGTAAAAACCATTGGGAAAAATTGGATATCAAATTAAATTGCCCCCCCCCCCTCGATAATGCGAAAGAACCAATGATCCGAACTAGCTTTCAATCGGCTTTCCAAAGAAAATAGTCATTACGATAGCGAAGCCATATTTTCGTATCATATTTTCCACCGATCCACTTCTCAAAATATTTATGCAAAAAAAACAGCAAAAATCTCAAATTTCTCGCAGTGTCAATGTGGCAAGGGGCACAGCTGCGCTAGCGGCCAGCGGGGGCAAGGTGAAAATTTCACAAGGGGGGCAAGAATCGGCAAACACACAGACACGCATCGCACGGGAATCGGCGAGTATTAGGCAAGAAAGAAAATACACAGCATGAAAACTAGCGAATACTCGATCAACGACAATCGGCAAGACAGCACCAAAGAGGGCAAGACGCCTATAAAAAGTGGGAAAATACAGACGACAAAGACCAAAAAGTGGCAAAATTAGCTACAAATAGCGGGCTATAAAATTCAAATTAAGAAGATTTCATGTGCGGCAGTGAGGCGAGCTTGATGAGTTTCTCGGCACTCCTATACACGTAGTTCGTCTCGTTCGTGCCGACGCCGTAAAAGTGCTGCTCCGACTCGGGGGCCAGCTTGCGCTTGATGCGATTTCTGAAGAAGAGAATTCCATGAAATTTGCGATTATACAAACCTGAGCGAGATTTTCGGGTCGGTGATAAAGTTGTAGATGACCGCCGTCCAGGAGCCGTGCGACTTGATGTTCTTGTAGAATTCGGGGGCGATGTGGCGGACCTGGAAAATCGTTTTCAAAAAAATCGAATGTCTTTAAATTTTTCGAAAACTAACACGAGGAAACTCGAAAAGAAAAATGCTTTTTTTTTCTTGCAAAATCCATCAATTAAATTTTCGTGGTTAAGGCTAGCTAAAAAATAGTTTAGCTATTTACCTTCGGCAAATTACACCCGGGGACGAACGGGAAATCGTGATGCTCGACGTGGTAGCCGACGTTGAACGTCACGTGGTTCAGAAGGCCATAGTAGCTAAAAATACCAATAGAAAAAAACGTAGGCTAGGCTTTGATACCTGTACGTCTCCTGGCCGGGCTGGAACGTGTAGTGCTCGGCGATGAAGTGACCGGCTAGAGGATGGGGGCCAAGCCCAAGGACAAGCCTGAAGAAAATCAAAACCTAGTTTTTTTATGTGAAAAACTAACCCGCCAAACAGATACAACAACGACTTGACGCCCCAGTAGTGGTAGACGGCGTAGTTGAACGACAGCTGGATGGCGACGTTGACCAGCTCGAGGTCGGTGACCGCCTAAAAAGGGGGATGATCAAAAAAAAAAGAAAAAGGCGCACCTTTGGGTAGATCAACAGTGGGCGAATTCCGTAGAAAACCGGCTGGAGTACTACCCAAAGCGCTTTTCTGAGTGTCGTGGTGAAGAAGTGGCACTCGATCTCGCTGGGCACGTCGGTGTCGATGACGTCTTCTCCTGGAAATAAATAAATACGTAGTGTAATAGAGAGAAATCAGAAAACAGTCGAGTTAGGTACTACGTAAAAATTCTAAACATTCTTGCCGACATCTGAAATTTGTAAATTTAATTTGTAGAGCTAAAGAAAGGTACGGTAAATAGGAAGAAAAGTAGATTTAAGCTCAAGGCCATGCTCACCTTGATGGCGGTGGTGCTCGAGGTGGTACTTCTTGAACGACACCGACATGGGCAAGCCGAGGGGCAGATTGGCGAAGAAGCCGAAGAGACGATTCTAAATTTTTTCTGTTTAATTTTTCCATTGCTAAGTCAATTCAAATGAAACCCCCCATTTTTAGCGAAAAACTCACCGCCAGCGGGCTGGTGTAGCCAAATGCCTGGTTGTGCGCAATTTCATGGATCGCTAGCGTCAGTGAGTGGTTGAAGACGCCGGACACAAAGTAGCATTGCAGCAACACGAGGAACCAGTGGGAATCTAGAAAAATTCATCCAATTCAGAATAAATAGAAGGATATACCCTGTTTGTTTTAAAGCATTCAACTTACCTCTCAACAGATACGCAAAGCAAATCTGGGCCAACACCATGCACGCGACAGTGGGCTTGAAGGCGGGGTCCTGGCCGAACAGCTCCTTCACCTGCGGGTACTTGGCAAGGATTTCTTTGCGTCTAAAACAAAACGATTTACTTCCTGTTTCATTCATTAACTTTTCATATAAACTTTACAAATTTGCATTAAAAATATACAAAGACTTTCCAAACTTTTCTCGATCTATAATGCGTTTCTCTCGTGTAAAACAGCCAAATTTAATGGAAAACGTTATTAAAATACTCGCGATTAAATTACTAGGCAAAACTGGATAGGACGAGGCAAATCGCCCCCCCCCGATATTGCACAAGCACAAAATTTTTCAAACGCCAACCTCGTCGCGTGCGGCTCCTCGGTGTAGGACCAGGCAAAGTTGTCCGCCTTGGCCACCGATTGGCCCATTGCCCCTTAAAATTGAAGTTTAATAGAATTTCAGATTTTGCGAGGACATCGCGAAAGTCGAGAACTCCAAAAATAGAGTTGTCTGGAGGTGGAATATCGTCGCCGCCATATATTGCCCCAATGCTCTGCCCGCAAAGATCAAAAACAGTGGTCTCCCTGGGAGATTGCGTGCAAAAACCGCTGCTTGAACGGGACTCGGAAATTAGCTCATGTGTGTGTGGGCGCGCGAACAAAAGGTTAGCAAATTTTGGGTTTGAAAGGAGGTTCTGAAAGGACAGAATTTAGAATAGCGAGGTGAATTTCTGCTAGAAAATTAGGCTATTTGGATCGCCATAATTTTTTTATAGCTGAAAAACAGACGATTACCCAAAAAAATCCAATCTTTATACGTTTCTAAACTTTTCAAAAGTCCAAAAACAAGCCAAAACTCGTATAAAAATATCTTTGCGTTTTTTTCTTCCGGAATTTCTGATGCAGCAAATTACAGCTTAATCGAAGTCACTTTTTCAACTGTTTTGAGATAAACGCCCGAATTTTCAAACGCCATAAAACCAAGCCCATAAAGCGAACAAGCCTTGTAGATCGTGATGAACTTGGTTCTTCGTTTCCCTTCCGTTTCGGACTAAAAAAACCGGTCCCACCAGCTGGCCGAAAGCTTTGGCGTAATCGCCGAACCATCCCACACTCTAGTTGAAGCGAAAAACTATTCTCCCAGACAAATTAGAGCTCTCTAGGCCAAAAGAACAAAAGTCAATTTCCAGCTATGAGAAACGAGCTTTAAATTACCCTCACCGCCTCACAAATTTGTCCCACCAAAAAACAAAGGTTCATGTCCAGGAATGAGAAGCATGGCGGGTTCTTTGGCACTATCGGGGGGGCTTTTATCTGAGGATCCAATTTTTCAAATATAAATAGCGGGTGTTTTCAAACTGTTTTTTTCACCAATTCTAAACGTAAAAACTACAGAATATATAGAAAAGCAGAATTTTCGACGAAAATGGCGGATCTTTTGCACAAAATTTCGACTTTTTCGAATAATATAAAGTTTTCAGTTAGTTTTTCTAAATGAAGAGGCTTCACTTGACTTCCTATTAAGTTACTAGACATTTTTAGACTTCTGCAAAAAACGATGCCCCCCTAACAGTTCAGAATCGAAACACTTAAAAAGTTCGGCCGGTTTCCCATCAAAAAGGCAAAATCAATCAATAAAAGATATGATCAGGTGATCGTGTGTTTCGCCGTATCGCAAAAAAATACACCCAGAAAAAGCCACAATTTTTATTCCAGCCCCTAGCTTCTTGCACTGGGGGACGCCAAACGAAACGGGGGGCAACGAGAGCAAAAGGGAAATAAATCAACAAACAAAAAAAAATATTGAGCAACTATCTTCTACGCAACTGCGGGGTCTAGAGAATATCCTAAAAATCACAATCAAGGGTTGAAGAACGGGCAGGGCTTCAAAAAGAAGGGAGCGACGCGAACAAGTAGCCCGAAAGAAGCCCGGGCGAGACCACCCATCAATCAGGCCGATAAGCCCGAGGAGTGGTAGATACGAGGGGCACACACAAGCACACGAAATGGTGACAACGGGCAGAAAGTCCAGCGAGACTGGACATCAGCAAGCTGAACGCCTTCAAGCCGTCGCCACCTTGAGATCCTCGTCGACGACTTGCTGGGCGAGCTCTTTGACGGCTTCTTCATTTGGCTTGGCGGCGGCGTCCTTCTTTTGCTTTTTCTTGTTGCGCCGGGCATCCATCTGAACAAATCGATAAATGGGGCGAGGAGGGAATCGTTTAGATGTAAATGTTATGATGGTAAAAACGTGAATTTGAAAAAAGCGTCCCGTTCGAAAAGGAAAAAATGGTCAGCTTCCGGTTCTTTGGCGTCTTCAGGGGAGGGGTAGATTTTTCTGATCCAAATTTTCCCAAAAAACATCAAGAAGGTTTCCTACGCCGTTTGCTAGCATCCTCATATCAAAATTTTCAAAATGTTAATAAAAATGCCGCAAATTTCCGTTTTTTTCGGCAAAAAATTGCGCATTTTCGGCCAAATTTTATATTTTAAAAGTTTTATAATCAGTTTTACCGCTAGCAATCTAGCTAATTTTACTGAAAACGCCCATTAAAGTCTTTGCTGTACGTTACTGTACATATTCTCAACTTTTGGCAAAATTTGGCCCCCTGAAGCGTCAAAATTCCAACCTTCTCCAGCTCCTCCTCGGTAGCCACCGGCTCCCACTTCTTCACGTCCAACGCAAAATGGGCCTCGCCGGGAATCGTCATCATCAGGCAACTAAAAAAATGTAGAGTAAACTTCTTACAACATTTCTAACTCAAGCAAAAAAAAAATTAAACTTACCGATTAATAAAAGGGCCCAGCGCGGGGCTGCGATGGACGCAGAGGGCCTGAACGATGGCGGCAATGTTTTCTTCGAGCTGGTCATCGCTCATCGACAACTAAACATGAAAAATGATAGCGAAAACTCTCGCGCTTACTCTGCCGACCACCGGCTCAGCGAGTCCCCAAATTGGGTATACCGGGTCGCCCTTGATCGACAGCTTCACGCCGTTGCGGAAACGATCAATGATGGCAGGCAGATCGTCGCCGAGACCGCCTGAAAAAGAGACAGACAGCTATAGGTGCTTTGGCATTAACGGGGGTCTTTTTCTAGACATCCATCCCGGCCAAAAAGACGTTTCGTAAAGAATCTCGGCATCTAGGGACCTCAAGAAATAAAACGTAAAACGAACCATTGACCTTGTTCGGAAACTTTGACCGGAGCAGCCCGCGAAGCGGCAAAATATGCGGAGCCATATCGGTGTGCGCCACGCAAAAATCGTAGTCGTCAGTGCGGAATTGCCCCTTGATAATCTTCTTCACGACGTCCTGCCCGACGGAGAGCTCGGCGCCACTTTCAACGGCAGCTTCCTGCAATTTAGAGTTTAAATGATTTTTCCTTCACATCAAAAAGTCCTCAAAAAGCCCTGCTAGTTCACCTGCAGCTTCAAATCGTTGACAAACGCGAGAATCGTACGCTTTTCCTGGTGCTTGAACGGGAAGGGAACGGGGACGATTTCGTCGTGGTTTGAGATCATTTTCGTCTGAAAAAAATGAATAAACAACCCAAAAAAATGCCAATACCGATTTTTCAGTGCTCATGTTCAGCTCGATGCGCAGCTTGATGGGGGCGTTTGGCCGGTTGTAGATCTCGGGACACTACAACGAGCTATTTTGCAAGAAAGAACTTTCCTACCTGCAATTCTCTGTGCATGGCGAGGGCGTCGCGGACGGAGAAGAACTGCGTTTTCACCGTGGACCTAAAAATAATCTCAAAAAAAAGTTCAAAATCATTTACATGATATAGACATTTGTGGCTGGCTTGTCGGGCAGAGCTTCTTCTTCATCAGCAACGAGACGTCCAGGGTATTGTTGAGATGGAGAGAGCCTGAAAATGACGGAAAAATGAAAAATTTCTTATTTTCAAAGCCAAGCCCGAAATTTTTAACCCGAAACCCACAAATTTTTCATCCGCCGAATGTTGATCCTCTCCATGAACGTGTACTGCTTCCGCGCCGCTTCGCGGGCCTCTCGCTTCAGCCGTCGTTCGAGCTTTTGCTGCCTTGTTAGGGTGGCCTTCAGCGCACGTTTTCGCCCTGAAAAAAAGCACTTAAAAAAAAGACCCAAAATCTACCTCTGACTTGGAACACATCGGCCGATGCGGGCCTCAGAATCGAGCCCACATTCAGGAAGCCGGCTATCCGGGTAGCCAGCATTCTCTGAAAATGAAATTGGATACGATGGGATGGTGAGGGCGATTATTGCGCAATGAAGCAGGAGGAAGAGGCGGAGAAGACTTTTTGGCCCACGAAACAGACGCTTTTTTAACATTTTGACGTCAGCTAGGGTTTTTAACTTTTTTAAACCAACCAAAACAATTTTAACTTTATAAAACTCCTGTTTTTCTTACGTTTTGCCACGCCAACCATGTAATTCAAAAGAATATTGCTTTTTACATGTTCTAAACAATAATTTAAACTTGAAAACTACTTATATTTTTAGAAAAATAGCATTTTTACAACATTTTTTGGTAAATTTTGGTCAAGCCGGGCACGGAAGGCTACACACCCCTCCAAACAACGGCGCCCGTCGCGCCAGCCGTGACCTCGCGAACAAAAAGCCACGATCATCATCGAACGGCCTAAATTTGCATGTTTCCAAATTTTTTTTATTGTGGTTCTAGAAACTAATAATAGCTTTTCAAAGCCTTTATTTTACTCGATCTATTTTTAGCCTGATACCTTCGCTCGATACTGTAGCTACAGTACGTCGGAAATCTAGTTTTCTCCTTATTTCTCTCCATTTTCAAATTTTCACCCATAAAAACCAAGTTTTAGCCCCGCAACCAGATGGAATGTACACCTCGCAAGACGCTCGGCGCGAAACTTCAGCGGGCCGGATGGGAAAACCGCACGAATCCTGACGCGCCGACGGCTTCGAATACGATTGGTCGGTTTTTAGATTTCCGAGCGTTTGAGGCTCTGGAGAGATCAGGAGATGTTAATTGAACAAACGAAGTTGTTTTTATCGCTCTAGTGTGTCTCGCGCCGCTGAAAATGAATATATCAGAGGAGAAAAGGGGCCTGATTTACAGGAGAACGCACTTTTTTTGCGAGGTTTTGGGCACTAGGAGGCTTTCAGGCATTACAGACTTCCCTAATTCCCTTTTTTTCAGAGCACGAAGCATTGGCCATGCAGCAAGTGGTGCGGCGTAAAGAAGCCCTCCGAGATGCCGCCGATTCGATCGGTCTACTCGCCCAGATCGCCTTCGAAGAAGCCGTGATTATCGTAAGCTAATTTGATTTTGAATTTGGTCGGAAAATACGCCTGGAAATTATTGCCATTTTTGATTTCTAGCCATATTTTTCCACACTCGTACTCGTACTGGCTTACTTGTTTGTTGTGAGGACATTGGATGCGGTTTTGATTTTCAATTTCTTTGCAGAGCGAAAATTTGCGTCGCCGCGGGCGGCAACTACGCCAGTACTGCCGCGCCAACATCTTCGACAGCAACTTCGGCTTCTTCCTGCGGCGTATGGCGCGCATCTTTATGCGGTAAGGTTTTTTGTATCATGCTTGAGGTTTTCTTTAGACGTGCATCAAAAAAGAAGCCGGCTCGTTTGGAGGGCATTGCGGCGCTGGGCAGCGATCCGTTGGAAGACGTATGGAATTATTCCTTGCAAATCATTTTTCATTCTAGGAGCTCGCCGCCGAAGGTGACGTTCCCCGAAGCTCGCTCAACGACTTGGGGCGGATTTTGTTGACGGATGATGTGGAAGAGGGTAGCGGGCTTTTGGCAGCTTCTAGAAATCAATTTAGGTGTCTTGCGCCGCTTCCAGCTTTGGGGCAAGCCCTGGGACTCGCTGCCGGAGCGCGAGGTCACCACGATGTTCCACGACGACTTCGGATCAGCTTCAGATTTTCAGGTATGCTAAGAATTTTGATCTTTATATGGTTTCCAGTTCTTCAATCGCCCACTCTCCGGCCTGGACGACGATGACCGCTTCAGCACGCCGTCGACCGCTCACAATGATGCTACTATGGTAATTCTTTTCCTATTTTACTCAGATAGTTATATTCTTTTAGGTGATGGCCATCGAGGCCCAAATGATGATGCTTCGCAATCAACTCGCTTATTTCACTCAACAGGGCGTATGGCGCATTTCTTTGAGCTGAAAAAAGTTCCTTTAGATGCGAATGCCGCCCCCGATGATCCCGACCAAGTACGACCTGTCTCCATCCACCGAGAGCAGTTGGTTTTGATCCAGAAATCTTGATTGTATCTATTAGACCACTCGATCGATGAGGGCATCTGCACGCAGTCGATGAAGTCGTACAACTCTCGTCTGGAGCACTATTCAAAGGAGCGGGTACGGATTGGCGCAAAGTTTTGAAATGTTCTCTGTTTAGGGCTCATCCAGGAATTCTCATCGCCACGAGACTGCATCTGGGAGTGTGAGTTATTCGGACTATCCTCAAAAAACGAAAATCGTAATGGCAGATTTTGGCAATTTGAAAATTTCATAATTTGTTGCGAGATTCTGTTAGCAAATCGTGTTTTTTTATAATTTTTCCTATATGTTCCTTTTTTCGCATTTCGGAATTATGTCTATTTTCCAGGCTCTTCCCGCCGTTCGACCCCCGCCCGGCCCGCCACCACCTCCCCCGCCTCCGCCGCCGGCGCCCATCAACCTGGCCCCTGTTCCAGTAATTTTAAATTGTGTTTCTAACTCTTATTTTTAGAAAACGCCCATGCGCAAGGCTCAGGAGGCGGCCAGCCTCGAGTCGATGCCCTCCCCAGTCAGCCGCCCGTCGGCCATGGACCTGCAGGCGGTGAAGCTGCGCAAGACCGAGGTGGCCAAGTAAGGAATTTGATGGTATCTTTTTCAAAGTCGATTTAGGTCTCCCGGCGGCACCCCGTTGAACAAGGCGCCGTTGCGGGGCGGGGCCAGCGAGCTGTTGGTGACTGCTTTGAGGTGAGGGTTTTGTGGCTTTGGTAATTTGAGGCGTAATTGTTGTATTTTGTAGCCTTTGCAGTTTTTGAAACGAATTTACTTTTTATAGTTTGAACCATAGTAGTTGTACCTTTGGTACTTTGTAGTTTATCGACATTTTCAGATCCCGGTGCAACGTGATGATGAGTGATATCGAGGACGAGGACACGGACGGACTGAACGAATCGACGCAGGACGAGTGGGAGGACAAAATGTAATTTTTCTTGGCTTATTTTTGGCTTCAAGCATTTTATGCGTTTTCTTATCTTACTGATTAATTGGACCGGTGGATTTTTACGAGTATCACATTTACTGCTTTTTTCAGTACCTCCATCGCCGCCGGCTGCCCCTCCTCGTCCGAATGATTCTTTGATTTCTCGACTGAAAAAGAAGATACTTGTTTTTATTTGTATGAACTTGTATTGAATAAAGAGGGTTTTGGAATCTTGCGTTGCATCTAAATGGCTTTTATCTATATTGACATGTTTTAAAAAGATGAATAGGTTCAAAGATTTATTAACAAAGTCGATACCCGATTCTCGAGACTTGGCGGCGTACAGGGAGGCAAAGGCAGAAAGCGTGGTGGGACAACGTGTACAATCAAAACATTAATGAAACGTGAATTCACGGGTTCTCGTGGTACTTGGCGATCAGCTCGGTGACGTCCTTCTGGAACTTGAGCGCGATGCCGGTGCCCTTGGCGCGCTCGAGCTCGCGCGCGTGATGCGCCATCAGTTGGCCTAAAAACATGGGTTGTTTCGGTTACTTTTTCATGGGAGTTTTTAGTAGTGAGAAAATAAAATAGCAATATTTAGCTAATTTAACGCTTTACCAACCTAGCAGGCTCCACTTGTCCGTCTCGAACTGCGAGCACATCTCCGGGCGCACGGTGGAGGTGAGTGCCGGCGAGCTGGGCTGTTGGTGGGCGGGGAATTTGGCTAAAATGGGGGTTTTGATTGTTGTGTTTATGTCAATTAGCCGTAATTCGGGTGAGTTAAGGATTTTGAAAGCCAAAACTCACAAAATCGCTTAAATTTTTTGATTTTCGTTTCAAAATTGGTCATTTTTGAGCCAAAAATCACGATTTTTTTTATGTTTTAATAGCATTTTTAAAACTTTCTGCTTTGAGGAAGAGTTAAAATAGTTAAAAAATTAAAAAGCCTCCTATAAACAAGATTTGGAGTTGTTTTCGAATAGTTTTTTTGCAATTTCATCGCCCTTTTTACATTTTTTAGACTTTAAACTCACCAGCACTCCTCCCATTTGTCGCAGCCCCCGAACTGGTAGCCGTCGCCGCGGCCGGCGGGGATGTTCTCCGATTCCTCAGCTCGGTGACGATATTCTGGATTCCGATGTTGTGGAGAGCGGGCGCCTCGAGCGGCTTCACCATGACGGCGGCGGTGGCGGTGGCCGACACGGTGGAGACGGTCGGTTTCGGTTTGTTTAGCTCGTCTTCGCGTGGGGGCTAAAAAAGTTTCAAAGTAGATTTAGGTCGCCCGGCGGCACCCCGTTGAACAAGGCGCCGTTGCGCGGGGCCAGCGAGCTGTTGGTGACTGCTTTGAGGTGAGGGCTTTGTAGTTCGAGGCGTAATAGGTGTTTTTTTGTGTCCTTTGCAGTTTTTGAGACGTGATAATTGTATTTTTGTGGTTAACCGTAGTATTCGTAGTTGTGTACATTGGAGTTTATCCACATTTTCAGATCCCGGTGCAACGTGATGATGAGTGATATCGAGGACGAGGACACGGACGGACTGAACGACTCGACGCAGGACGAGTGGGAGGACAAAATGTAAATTTTCTTGGCTTACTTGGCTTCAGGCATTTTATGCGTTTTCTTATCTTACTGATTAATTGGACCGGTGGATTTTTACGAGTATCACATTTACTGCTTTTTCAGTACCCCGATCGCCGCCGGCTGCGACTCCTCGTCCGAATGATTTTTTGATTTCTCGACTGAAAAGAAGATACTTGTTTTTATTTGTATGAACTTGTATTGAATAAAGAGGGTTTTGGAATCTTGCGTTGCATTTCAATGGCTTTTCTCTATGTGAATGTGCTTTACAAAGATGAATATGTTCAAAGATTTATTAACAAAGGCGATACCCGATTCTCGAGACTTGGCGGCGTATAGGGAGGCAAAGGCAGAAAGCGTGGAGGGAGACAACGAATACAATCAAAACATTATAGAAACGTGGTTTCACGGGTTCTCGTGGTACTTGGCGATCAGCTCGGTGACGTCCTTCTGGAACTTGAGGGCGATGCCGGTGCCCTTGGCGCGCTCCGGTTATTTTCAAAACCACCTCCCCGAGACCTCCCCACCTCCCCACCTCCCGACCTCCCCACCTCGAACTTTACTAATTGCCCCGCTTTTTCGCTGGATTTTGCTAAAATAATGGGGGAATTCATGCCAAATTTTGTAAATTCGGCAAAAGTACCGCTTTCTTGTGGCGTTTTCCTGCCTTATGCAATTCACTCTTATGTTTCGAGCATGTTGATGAGAATTTTGAACATCTCCTTTTGGGGCCATGAGTTTTCGGCAACTCTCCCAGAACAGCTTTTCGGCAAGTTTTTTTGCAATGTCCAGTGTTTCCGAACGCTTTTGCGCAGAAGCCGTCGCCGAAATCTATGGCCCGCTTCTCCTTCTTTTTGGCCTTTGTAATTCAAGTAAAACGGCGGGATTGGGCCCAAAGACTTTCATATTCACTGACCTGCGTTTCCTTTCATGATCTTTTCTTCTCCTTCTTGTGTGCAAATTATATAGTTCACTTTTCCAGGCAGCACCTACTCCGCAAATATGGGTGACGTCGTGACAATTCGCACGCGCAAGGTGCTCAGCAACCCCCTACTCGCCCGGAAACAGATGGTAACAATTGTTTTTAGCGCTTTATCAAACTTTTTTTCAGGTTGTTGAGATCTTCCATCCAGGACGCCCGTCCGTCTCCAAGGATGAGATCCGCGACAAGATCGCCCACATCTACAAGACGACCAAGGACCTCGTTATCGCCTACGGATTCCGGTGCCAATATGGAGGCTTCTTGCCTTCGGCCTTCGGCTTCTTCCTGCGGCGGATGGCGCGCATCTTTGTGCGGTAAGATTTTTGTACCAATCTTGAGATTTTCTTTAGACGTGCGTCGAAAAAGAAGCCGGCTCGTTTGGAGGGTATCGCGGCGCTGGGCAGCGATCCGTTGGAAGACGTTTGGAATCATTCCTTTCAAATCATTTTTGTTTCTAGGAGCTCGCCGCCGAAGTTGACGTTCCCCGAAGCTCGCTCAACGACTTGGGGCGGATTTTGTTGACGGATGATGTGGAAGACGGTAGCGGGCTTTTGGCAGCCTCTAGAAATCAATTTAGGTGTCTTGCGCCGCTTCCAGCTTTGGGGCAAGCCCTGGGACTCGCTGCCGGAGCGCGAGGTCACCACGATGTTCCACGACGACTTCGGATCAGCTTCAGGTTTTCAGGTATGCTAAGAATTTTGATCTTTATATGGTTTCCAGTTCTTCAATCGCCCACTCTCCGGCCTGGACGACGATGACCGCTTCAGCACGCCGTCGACCGCTCACAATGATGCTGCTATGGTAATTCTTTTCCTATTTTACTCATATAGTTATCTTCTTTTAGGTGATGGCCATCGAGGCCCAAATGATCATGCTTCGCAATCAACTCGCTTATTTCACGCAAGGGAGTGTGAGTTATTCGGATTATCTTCAAAAAACGAAAATCGTAACGGCAGAATTTGGCAATTTGGAAATTCCATAATTTGTTGCGAGATTCTGTTAGCAATTCGTGTTTTTTATAATTTTTCGTATATATGCCTTTTTTCGCATTTCGGAATTATGTGTATTTTCCAGGCTCTTCCCGCCGTTCGACCCCCGCCCGGCCCGCCACCACCTCCCCCGCCTCCGCCGCCGGCGCCCATCAACCTGGCCCCTGTTCCAGTAATTTTAAATTGTGTTTCTAACTCTTATTTTTAGAAAACGCCCATGCGCAAGGCTCAGGAGGCGGCCAGCCTCGAGTCGATGCCCTCCCCAGTCAGCCGCCCGTCGGCCATGGACCTGCAGGCGGTGAAGCTGCGCAAGACCGAGGTGGCCAAGTAAGGAATTTGATGGTATCTTTTTCAAAGTCGATTTAGGTCTCCCGGCGGCACCCCGTTGAACAAGGCGCCGTTGCGGGGCGGGGCCAGCGAGCTGTTGGTGACTGCTTTGAGGTGAGGGTTTTGTGGCTTTGGTAATTTGAGGCGTAATTGTTGTATTTTGTAGCCTTTGCAGTTTTTGAAACGAATTTACTTTTTATAGTTTGAACCATAGTAGTTGTACCTTTGGTACTTTGTAGTTTATCGACATTTTCAGATCCCGGTGCAACGTGATGATGAGTGATATCGAGGACGAGGACACGGACGGACTGAACGAATCGACGCAGGACGAGTGGGAGGACAAAATGTAATTTTTCTTGGCTTATTTTTGGCTTCAAGCATTTTATGAGTTTTCTTTTCTTACTGATTAATTGGACCAGCGGATTTTTACGAGTATCACATTTACTGCTTTTTTCAGTACCTCCATCGCCGCCGGCTGCCCTCCTCGTCCGAATGATTCTTTGATTTCTCGACTGAAAAAGAAGATACTTGTTTTTATTTGTATGAACTTGTATTGAATAAAGAGGGTTTTGGAATCTTGCGTTGCATCTAAATGGCTTTTATCTATATTGACGTGTTTTAAAAAGATGAATAGGTTCAAAGATTTATTAACAAAGTCGATACCCGATTCTCGAGACTTGGCGGCGTACAGGGAGGCAAAGGCAGAAAGCGTGGTGGGACAACGTGTACAATCAAAACATTAATGAAACGTGAATTCACGGGTTCTCGTGGTACTTGGCGATCAGCTCGGTGACGTCCTTCTGGAACTTGAGCGCGATGCCGGTGCCCTTGGCGCGCTCGAGCTCGCGCGCGTGATGCGCCATCAGTTGGCCTAAAAACATGGGTTGTTTCGGTTACTTTTTCATGGGAGTTTTTAGTAGTGAGAAAATAAAATAGCAATATTTAGCTAATTTAACGCTTTACCAACCTAGCAGGCTCCACTTGTCCGTCTCGAACTGCGAGCACATCTCCGGGCGCACGGTGGAGGTGAGTGCCGGCGAGCTGGGCTGTTGGTGGGCGGGGAATTTGGCTAAAATGGGGGTTTTGATTGTTGTGTTTATGTCAATTAGCCGTAATTCGGGTGAGTTAAGGATTTTGAAAGCCAAAACTCACAAAATCGCTTAAATTTTTTGATTTTCGTTTCAAAATTGGTCATTTTTGAGCCAAAAATCACGATTTTTTTTATGTTTTAATAGCATTTTTAAAACTTTCTGCTTTGAGGAAGAGTTAAAATAGTTAAAAAATTAAAAAGCCTCCTATAAACAAGATTTGGAGTTGTTTTCGAATAGTTTTTTTGCAATTTCATCGCCCTTTTTACATTTTTTAGACTTTAAACTCACCAGCACTCCTCCCATTTGTCGCAGCCCCCGAACTGGTAGCCGTCGCCGCGGCCGGCGGGGATGTTCTCCGATTCCTCAGCTCGGTGACGATATTCTGGATTCCGATGTTGTGGAGAGCGGGCGCCTCGAGCGGCTTCACCATGACGGCGGCGGTGGCGGTGGCCGACACGGTGGAGACGGTCGGTTTCGGTTTGTTTAGCTCGTCTTCGCGTGGGGGCTAAAAAAGGGGTAAAATTCTTTTAATAATGATATACTCAGATTTGCGTTATTTTGGAATTTTTAAGATTTAGTGTTCTAAGCTTTGATCATTATTTGAGTTTAAAAAATTATTTAACTAATATTTAAAAAAAACATTTTGTGGAGTTAGAATACTTTTTAATTGTTTTTAAGCCTTAGTTTCTAATTTTAAAATCATGGCTTAAATAACTGGCAAAAAGAATCATTGTTCGAGTATTTTAAGCAAAGATTTTAAAGTTATAAGTTAGCTAGAAGTTTACGTTAAAGTTTTACGTGCATTTAAAGTGTAATACTTTCTATTTTAGATCATACTACTACTACTTTTAGGTATAACTACTTACCACCCAAACATTCTCATGGCCATTGATAGATATCGGCATTTGAGGGACTGTCGGTGTCGGTAGATGACCATTGTTTCGCTGGGCGGCCGCTTCGAGCTGTTGGCTGACGATGGAGAGCCAATGGGCGACGGTAGCGTCAGGGGCAGGTACGGAAGCCGTCACCGGGTATTTCACCTAGAAAAACGTGCTTTTAAAGGGGCTAGGAAGTCTGGATTTTCTCCGATGATCTGCTACAGCTGGCTAAAAAATTTCTAGGCAATATCGTACCCTTTTCGCGGCCGAATCGCCAAGTCCATTGGTCAGCGCGGAGTCTGGCGCCTTTGTAGCCGCGGCGAACGCGCCGGCCAGCTCGAACAGGGCGGTGGAGGTGCTGAATAAGGTTTATTTTTTATAGTTTGTAGTTTTTGTTTTATGGTTGGAAAATGAAGACTTATAGTTTGTAAAAATTGAGGGTAACTAGACAGACTCCTTAGGTAAATCGGTGCTTTTGCATTATCGGGGGGGCTTTATTGCCATGGGACAAACAGGGTGGGTTTTTATGTGCCTTTTCGTCGAAAAATGGCTGCTTTTCGACCAAAATTCATCTCCCCCGATAATGCAAAAGCGCGGAAAATCATTGTTTTTCCGCATGCTAAAATATCGAGGGTAGCTAGCAGAGATTCTTAGGGGTCCCTTTTAGCTGTTTTTTTTCAGGAAAAAATTGTGGAAAACCCAACCTCGGTTCGGCGTGTACAGTAGTCGGCGCAGCGGCGATAGGCGTGGGCGGTGTCGGCGTGGTGGTGTTGACGATGGTGGTGACCGGGGGTTTAGGCAAGGACGTTCTCGGCACCTGCTGCAGCGCCATGTAAAAGTTTAGCACTTCGGGCGCGATTTGGAGCTGCCGTTTTCGCGAAAGCTTATCGACCACCATGCGCATCTCGTCGATTTGGCGGCGGCAGTCGTCTTCTGGAAAAATTCAGATGAAAGCGTACTTTAAAAGGTGAGTAGGATTAATTTAAATCAGATTAAAAATAGCGAGAAATTATTAATTTTTGATGGACCTGAAAAGGTAAAAAATGATAGATTTCGCGGGAACAAGGGTAAATAAGCAATGAGTTAGGTAATTTGACCTTTTTGAAGCGACTAACCGTTTACGATATGAAAATCGCGAATTTTGAAAGCGTTGTTAGAGTTTTTTGTTTGTTTCTTGGCTTTCCGAAGCTCAAATTTTTACTTTTTTTTAGCCTTGCCGAGCCCTTTAAAATTTGTTAAATTTACCAGTGATCCAAGTCGCCCGGTGCTCAGACTTGAGTTTGTCACACAGCGGTCGGAGGCTGTGCTGGCTGGGGTCTTCCCAGATTGGCGGGTTGTTCTTCATCTCCTCCACCAGCGTGCCGACCATCTCTCGCTTCCAGAGGCCTTTAAAGAGTCGAGACATTAACAATATTGTAGAATTATTCCTCTGAAAAGTCAACCTGAATTTTTCTGACTTTTGCAGCTCCGAAAAATGCTTACATGGCTAGTTTTTCACTATTGTTTATCATTCGAAAACTTGAAAAGCCATAATGGTTTTTTTTAAAGTAAGGTTAAAACCGAATATTTTATATATTTCTGGATGATGTTTAAAAACCCATTACGACATTGAAAAAAATAGAAAAAGGTGCGAAAATAAATTCTACCGCCGCTTAAAAAAACCGAATTCTGCATTATTTTCCTACCTCCATTCTCCCGAGCCTTCGATCCCATGCACAAACCCTCGAAATCAAGCGCTTCCGGGTCGGGAAGATTCTGAAATTTACCAAATTTTAAAGCGAGTGTGGCAGCAAGGATTCGACAGTAAATTTCAACATTACCGTAACCCCAAAAAATCAAAACATAATTTACAAAATACCTTTGCGCTCAGCATCTTTGCATTCAGCGCTTCTCGCACTGTGGGCTCGTATTGGCCGGGCTTGGCCTGGAACTGAAAAAAAACATGATAAGATAGCAATTACCGTACTTACTGAACGATTTCAAGGGTACTGTAGCTCAGTAAAAATTGTACACTACAATGTACGAACCTGTACAAATGACGTGCGCGCAGTCTTCTTGCCGTTGTCAGACGCGGAAGCGTCGTCGAGTATCTTGGCTTTGGCTTGAGAGCTGCAAAAAAATTCGATTAGGGGACAACTGGAACAGAACCGCTTAAATTAGATTTTTGACAATTAATGGACACTATAATGGGACACTAAAGCATTTAAAAAGCTTCCTAGGCCGAATTTAAGAAGGCAAAACACTAAAAATTTCTAAAATTGAATTTAGCTGAAAAAACAAGCAAATTTCTAGCTTCACGACCTCTTTAAGCGCTACTTTTTACTGCAGTTCATCAATAAAAGGCGTTAAAAATCGTAAAACGTATAAAACGTACCCTCCCGGCAACTGCGGCACCTGGGGGTGAGCGGCGAGGAAATTGGCTTCGTTCGATTTGCCGATTCTGGAAAGTGGGCAGAAATTACGAGTAAAAGAGGTGGACTGGAGGTGAGAATTAGAAATCTCTGGGGGGATTCAGCGAGATCGATAGATGGGGCAGACAGATTTTAGGGGGATAATCAGGGATTTGGGGGTCTAAATGGGGAAAGGAGCGTAGTGGAATTTTATGAATTAGTAAAAAAGTGAGAGATAGAGCGAGAGTGAGACGGTGAGAGAGAGCGAGAGAGGAAGAGAGAGGGAAAGAGAGAGATGCCGAGAAAGATAGAGAGAAAGTGAGCGTGCCAGAGAGAGAGAGAAAGAGAGAGAGAGAGAGAGAGAGAGAGAGAGAGAGAGAGAAAGAGGTATAGAGGTATAGAGCTAGTGAGAGAGAAAGAGAGAAAGAGAGCGAGAGAAAGAGAGAAACGTACTCTGCCAAAATCCCTCGATACTCATTCCTCATAATATCGTCCTGGGCAGTCGTCGTGAACTTGACGCACAGCTCGTCAAAACGGTCTTCCGACATGATGCTAAAAATTCCGTTTTTTACTAATTCTGCCATCAAATTTACAAAAATTGAATACTCGGAAAAACAGCCCGGGATCGTATGCCAGAAAAAAAATTAAGACATTCAGAGAACTTACTGTAGAAACGAATTATTCTGGTAGGGTATCTTGCTCATCGCGTTCGCAAAGCGCCACCGCATCAGTCCGGTGGCCTTGGCGACAATCTGGCTACGGTAGTGCATCTCGCACATCCACGCCCACTTCTCCAGCACGGCCACGTCGTTCAGCCCGGGCATCATGGCTGAAAAGAGTGGCTTTAAAAGGGCAAAAAAGTGCTAGAATCGACCTCTTCTTCCGACTAGGTCTCGACATCTATGAAAGCCTCAAAATACGCGTTGAATCGCGAATTATTTTTGGGTTTGATGCGACGTTTTCATAGGCTGGAAAAATGAAGTTGAAGCCGCTATTTTGCTCGAGACCAAGTTGTCCAGACCCAGTTGACGGGAAGGGTCGATTTTCTCGACTTCCCAGTTCCTTTAAGTGAGCTGAGAAGCGCGAGAATCGACTCCTACATCTACTAGGTCTAGACAGCTTATTCGAAAGCTACGCGGGCTTGAAAACACATTCAGAAACTAGCTTCAGCGACTCTTTTCCAAGCCCTTAAAAAGTGTTCGTAGGCGTTATTTGGAGTGACTCGTAACTGTCCAGACCTAGTCGACGGAAGGGGTCGAAATTGGCATTTTCGGGGGGCTTTTAAGTTTTTTCAGTTCAGTTAAAAGACTATTTTCTAGTCCCGCATTCCCGGAATAAACAATCTTCAGCCCAGATGTCACAATGTGTCATTTTTTGGAAGGCTGAGTGGGTGGAGGGGGCTCCGTTTTTGATTCCACGATTCCGAAAAGTTCCTCTACACGATTCCTCGGGGATTAGTTAGGCGAAAATAGTAAAGAAGGGTCTATTTTGGATGATGTTTTCTTGGGAATTCTCTCTCTCTCTCTGCTCTCTCTCTCTCTCTGGCTCTCTCTCGCTCTCATTCTCTCTCTCATCGTAAAGCCCAAGTCAAAGTTTTGCGTGGGTGCACCGACCGGGTTAAGCCCATAACGTCTTTACGACCCGGTGGCCATAATGAAGCGCCCAAAATAGGGAAAGTCCAGCTAGACGAGGAGAGTCTCTTTAATTATACCACCACTGACCAGGGGCATGACGATGGAAAAGATAGAAAGAAAAGTGTACTCGGCCACGATATGATACTATCTACGTTAGACCCGACAAAAAAAAATACTAGGAATGGTCCAAGTTATTTTAAGGGAGCATGGCACGCCGATCAAGATCTCAAGAAAAAAGATACAGGGAGAATATTCGTTCCAGATTTTAACGCAACTCGTAAACTTTCGCAAGCTTTCCCTAAAATTCTGGAATTTCCCAACCAAAGTACATCCTCGTTTTACTAGCCTAAATTTTTAGGCGAATTTTCAAGCTATTTTTCGGGAATAATACACCCTACCCGCTGCATCGAATTTCCATGATAATGGGCCACAAAACACGCTATTTTAGCCGTTTTCCAGCTCCGGAAAAATGAAAATCTCGGATGACGAGGCCGGGCTGGGCTAATGGCCAACCCATCGTTTTTCGTGGTCTGGCAGACACATTATTTTGCGTTTTTAGGGCCAAAATGGCTACACGTGTGGTCGTAATTCGTAGCGGAATGCAAAAAAATGAGATAAGGAATTTGCAATAAGAATGAAATTGGGTTTTTTAGGGTTTCCAAAATTGGAAAATTTTTATGAATTTTAAATTTATTAAAAAACCCTATAAAAAGTTTAAAACACCCGAATCAAATGCGAAACTTACAGACAAACATCTCGACGATGCTGCGGAAGTGGAGCATGTTCTTCTGGAGCTGGTTGGCCTGCTGGGAGGGCTCGGTGGGGGCGCAGTCAATACTGAAGTATAAAGTACGAATTAGCAAACAAAAATTCAAATTTGGATACAAAATCCATTTTGAAAAATCGTGAAATTTGGAATGAAACAATTATTGTTACTGTCATTAATGCGTAAGTAGCAAAATACCAAGATTTAAAAAATACTTACCCCTTCTGCTCGACGAGTGTGATCAGAATTCCGCGATAGGGCTCCGTCCAATTAGGCTGGGCCTGGAAATGGAACTTTTTTTTAGCAAATGTAATAGGTTTTTAACAGTGCAATTTTTACAAAACTTGGTGGCATTCTTTTCCCAGAGTTTCCAGCTCCTCTAAAAATTGCGCAGCTTCACCTGGCTTGATTTAGCACCAACCAATCCCAGAAAATGATCTCTGACCCAACAAAAACTCTTCAATTTCCTTATTTTGGCCCTAGAAGTGAGTGACATTCCCTTGGGGGACCCACCGCAGGGCCCCGCCCCTTTTCAGGGACCCACCCCCGAGGGTTAAAAGGCACCATGATGGGCCCTGGGGGCATATTTCTTGCCCAGCAGCCGGTGTGGGCTCTTTGGAGTACGCTAGTACGCTAGCGTACTATTGACATCTAGTTACGGCTCAAAAATGTTGAAGAAGCTGCTCTTCGCGCTGCTGTTTTTCGCGGTTACGGTAAGTTTAGGGGTTACTGCAGCTAGGAAGTTCAAGGCATTTTCCTTTTCTTTCGAAAAGCCGTATTAGCACGAAAAATGCACTATGCAAAAATTCCGAATTTTTGCGCTACAGTATTTCGAATTCCGGGTGTCACAGCGCCTTTAAAGAAACCTAATTTGCAGGAAAATTGATAACTATAAAATGCTCTATTTTACGGCTACCATAATCCGAATTCGGGCTCAAAAATCAGTTAGGATCGAAATCTCCGGGATTAAAGGACCATTGAAGACAGGAATCTATAGCTTTCCCAAGAATTCTGCATGTTTTAGGTATCCAGCATGGTCTGGGAACCGCCAGAGAATCTCTACGCTTCATTCCCTTCCGGAGCACATAAGCGGGAGACCCGGATGAGAGAACTGGTGAGTTCAAAGTTTAAATTGGCTTACAATTTTTTTCGACCGCACTTTTTCGAATGATTTAAAATTACCGTCTGTCTGTTCGATACCTAATTTTTGGTCCCATCTCTTAGTCATTCCAATTAAATATGCTTTTTGTGTCTTTACAATTTTCCCGGATGCTTAATCCGAAGATTCGATTAGATTTTTCTATTTTCCCAAAAATGTACATATAAGCTTTTTGGGGCGTCAAAAAATGTACTGTAGAATTCGTCAAAATGCGTAAAAATAGTTTCGTTGCTTGCCGCGACCCTGGGGAATTTTGGAAACTTGTACTGTTCTTTTCCAACCAATCTTGGTATGTAGAATGTTGGGTGATTCGATTAAAGAGGTCTGAAAATGGCCAAAAACCTGGAAAAAATGTTGCACAAAAATGACGCTGCTAACTTCTTAGAATTTGTTGCTGTCGAAAATCGTGGAAATTTTTAAAACGTAGTGGGTTTCAGGAGATGGCCTAAAACCACGTGATGGCATAAAAAGCTACGTACTGATGCTAATTCCGGGGTTGGCTTAAATTACGAATTACGGGGGTGTGCGTGGGGGTCGAAAAGTCCGGGGATTAAGAAGTCGTTACCATCATTGTTTGGTGTTCTTTGGAAAGTAACGTAGCGGAGAGAGAGAAAGGGAAAGAGAGAGAGACAAAGAGAGAGAGAGAGACAAAGAGAGAGAGAGAGAGAGACAAAGGGAGAGAGAGAGAGAGAGAGAGAGAGGGAAAGATAGAGAGGGAGAGAGAGAAAGTTAATGGTAATCTTTATCATTTTTTTCAGCGAATTCCACCTCCGTACGACACGCTACCCCTAGTGCAACGCTGGATATTCAAACGAGGTGGCGCCAGGAATTTTTAAGCTCGAAAAATTTGGCCAACTTGTGGAATAAATACCGGTCAAAGTATAAAAAATGCAACGAACAGAGAGAGAGAAAGAGAAAGAGAGGAGAGAAAGAAAGAGAGAGAGAGAGAGAGAGAGAGAGAGAGAGAGAGAGAGAGAGAGAGAGAGAGGAGAGACAGAAAGATAAAGAGAGAGAGACAGAAAGAGAAAGAGAGCGAGAGAGAGCGAGAGAGAGAAAGAGAGAGAGAGAGAGAGAGAGGGAGAGAGAGAGAGAAAAGAGCGAGAGAGTGAGAGAGAGAGATAGAAAGAAAGAGAGTGAGAGAGAGAGAGAGAGAGAGAAGGATAAAGACTCACCACTTTATTCTGCAACAACTTTGCGTAGAGGCTGTTGGGATGGAGTGGTTGGCTGGGAGTAGGCTGCAAAATCGGGGTTTAATTAAGAAGTGGTTTTTTGAATGAACGGGTCATTTAATGGACTATTTCTAGGAGCGTCTAGTTAATTCAAGATCCTTTAGTGGCCCTCCGTCACTAATCGGAAATTGAATCTCCGGGGTCCTGAGGCGATTTTTCAGAAAAATTTCAGCCTGCCGAGAGTTCTGGGGGAGCCAAAATGTCACAGAAATGAATTTTGAAAAATTTCTCTGAAGTGTTTCGATGATTTTTGCAAATATAAAAACTTTTAAAGACTATTTTCAATAAAATGTTATTAAAATAAATTCCTATTGTTTTTGTAGGCAGGAAAATTAGTAAAAATTAAACCTTAACAATTTTGGCGATCGGGACACTGGCGGCGATGAAGTTGACGAGGTCGACGAGATTTTCGGGTTTGATCAATGCGGCTGGCGGGGAATTCTAAAAAGTGATCTCTCTCTCCTTCTCTCCCGCTCTCTCACTCACTCTCTCACTCTCTCGCTCTCCCTCATTCCCTCTCTCGCTCTCTCTCCTTCCTCCCGTTCTCTCTATCTCCGAATCCTCTCTTCCTCTCTCTCTCTCTCTCTCTCTCTCTCTCTCTTCCTCTCTCTCTCCCTCGCCCTCACTAACCGCAGAATTAGCCGTAGAAGTAGCTGTGGAGGTGGACGGCTTGATGTCGAGCTGGGCCTGGGGTTCAAGCCTCGGGGCTTCTTCCACGACTTCTTCCTTCACCTGGGCGGCACCTTTAGATGAGGTTGCCCCGTTTGAGGAGGCGCCGCTGTGCTACAAAATAAGAAAGTATACAGTAGACTTTACCACAAAACTGTACACAGTACGCAAGCGGACCCTGGCAAAATAACTAAAATATACAATTTAGTCAAAATCTAATTTACAAATCATCTTTTCTATGAAAAATTTCTTAAATTTGTCCTCGAGGAAAAGCTTAGAAAATTCAAATTCGACCGCTTATAGAACAGTAACGTACTCAAAACGTATATTTTAAAAAAATTACCATCGTAACCTCTGGTTTCTCCTCGACTTCACGGGACCGCCCAGCCCGAGATCGCTTGGCTGGAGGGCCGTCGGAGCTCTAGAAGGAGAGAGTTAAAAAGTTAAAGAAGAAGGGGAGATGGAGCGAGAGAAAGCGGGAGAGAGAGAGATAGAGAGAGAGATAGAGAGAGATCACTAACCTCGGTGCCATTCACCCGTCCCGTCGTCGACAGCGACTGATTCGGCGTGACCGAGCTCATCCGCGTCCGGGCCATCCTGCAAAAATCTGCTTAATTCAGCGATACTACACTAATGATACCGTACTAACACTACAGTACTTTTTACCTATAATTCATTAAAAAGTCTAATTTTTTGAGTAGTAGGTTACGGTATTTTGATCCTACGGTACGAGTCGTTATAGGCTTTTTTTATTTAAGGGGACGATTTTTTCCATTTAGGGATCTATCGTAATTTTTATACTAATTACGGAATTTGGTTTCTTGGGCTACGGTGCTTTCCTAATTAAAATCAATTGGTTCTCCGAATTTCCACCTTTTTTGACCCACCGCTTACTGTACTTTTCTGGCTTAATAAATTGCTCATTTTTGGTTTCGCTGGGGCTTACTGTATTTTTACAATCAAGTAAAATACAGTAATTTGAAGGCCTTAGCCCTTTTTCCGATCTACACCCCTCCACGCGCGTATATGGGAATGTGGCGTAGCCGTCCTCCGTTGGCTATGTGGGTCCCAATTTCCCGGGGCGTTTTGGGTGGTGGATCCGTGTGAATCTCCCACCATTCTCCATCGATTCCCTCGCCCCAACCTCCTCCATCTTCTTTCCTTCTTCTACGACTGCCCGATGGGCCACATGCAAAATGCGGTCCCGCGCCGATTCCCCAAAACCGTGTATTTGGCATGAAAAACGCAAAAATGTTAGTAGCCATGTCCAAAATACGCTAATTTACGTACGACGCAGAGGTAAAAAAATTCAGTAAGGACTTGGAAGTCGTCATAAATTGGATGCTAATTTGCATATATAGAAAATTGATCGCAATACGGTATAGGAATTTAACCAGGAGTATTACTGGCCCCACGAATCAGCGGTGCCATAAATTTGGCGAGAAAAACTCAAAAATTAGCCAGGTTTAGGCTCGAACTTATTTTTCTAAAATCTCGAGCGAAAAACCCGAAAATCCTGCCCTAATTTGCATACAATTCCAAAAAGAGCGCCACCAGCGAATCCGAAGAAAACGGAATAAGCAATTTTCAAGAATATTCCCAAATTTTCCTAGCGGTATCGCGCAAACGAGTAAAAATTAGCAAAAATCACGAAAATATAAAGCGAAAATTTATACTGTATCTTCAAAACTAAACTGTTTGAAGTTAAGTTATCAGATCTATTACAGTATAAAAGAAATTTCAACTGGGAACGCGTGAAATTACTCGAGGTTAACCGAATTTGCGTAAAAAGTAGCACGACAAAAATTCTAAAAAATCCAGTGAGGCCACCTAATTAGCATAAATATTTGTACCTGGTGCGCATGGTTGAAAAGTGATAGCAGAGAAAATTTGCGGAAATGTATGGGAATGCTTACAACTCGTCAAAATAGCCGAGGTCCATCATGGCAGATGTGTAGTGGAGAAATGGCGGGCACCACCTGCACCCTATCACCTCGCGAACGGCGCACTAATGAGAGATGATTGGGGTTAGAGAGCGGGAGAGAGAGGGAGAGAGCAGATAGAAGGAGAAGGCGGCAGTGGTTTTGGATTTGATAAGGAAAGGAAGATAAGCTAAAGATATTTGAAGTATTTGCATATTAAGAATCTTAAAAAAATTGTTCGCCAAAATCGGGGCACATGAAATCGATTATGGCGTTTTTAATTGCATTTAAATTCCTTAAAAATAGCTGAATTTTGCTGACAAACCCACAGATTCACATTATCATTCTAACATAAATTTTTAATTATCCTTCTTT